AAGTTGTCGATGAAAGCTTGCTCGAGTTCTTGCCAGAATCAAGTAGTTTGCCGGGCAAGTGACCACCACCGGTGTGACTGCATGACCAACGACTCTTTGGAAAGTAGTTAGACATGGCGTGCTCGTAAGCCATGGCTAATCTGCACGTAGTTTCGTAGAGCATGACCCATAATTCGGGGTTCTCCTTGCCGTCATACTTCTGAAGTTTTTCGAGCTTGAAGTTCTTGGGCCATATGACTTGGCGAAGGTGCGGAGTAAACTGCTTTAAACCCGGCGGGCCGTGGGCGATATCATATTCTATCTGGCGATAGCTCGTGGGATGCACGATCGTTGGCTCTCTGGTTGATGCGATCACGCAGATCACGTCCTCCGAGGTAGTGGCGGAGATCGTTATTGCCATCGTGGCGATCTCGGTTGCCATCCACATTAGCTCTGCGACCATGGTTGTCGCGGCGGTTGTCATCTCGGATGTTGCGGCGATTGTCCTATCGACGGCGGTTGTCATCTCGACCGCCATCATGGCCGCCGTTTCCGCCTTGACGGTTATCTGATGGGTCGTTGTTGCGCGAGCCACGTAGGTGGGGTGACTGTGAGCGGCATGAGTACTGGCGGCTGTGGCTTGACTCGACTGAGACAGAGGGAGCCCGGGCTTGATTTACAATCTCTACGGTCTGGGCCATAGCAGCCGTCAGATAGGCTTGTATTTCATCGTGAACTGCCTGAGTTTCTGGGGTATTGGGTAGCCGTTGCATTGTCGCCATAGCGACGGCTACGTTGGCGCTTGGGGTCCTGAAGACCTGTTTGTCCCCCACCCTGTTGAAAGCATTGTTGAGGTCGCGTGGCTGGACCCTTATGCGTCGTTCCTCTTCTTCTGCTTCAGCTTCGATTTGTCGGCGATTAAACCGGTCCATATTACGTGCTTCGCGTGCAATCCTTTCCTGTTCTGTTTGGTCGACTGCTGGTGGTTCATCATTACTGACTACATTGATCAAATCCCCTCGTCTTGGTGGGAAGGACGGGAATTGTGGGTACCCTGGGGTGTGGTCTGGAATATCCAGATCGTATTCGACGCCTTCATCATCGTGATGCTGGAGCTCAGTGTGGTCGGAGGCATTGGATGCGATGCCAGACGAGGAGCTGGAGTCACCCTCTTGGACTGTGTGGACGGACCCTTCTTGATAATCCTCAATCCGGACCATGTTGACGAAATTTCACGGCTTCGACTGAGGTTGACACAGATCCAAGCGACATTCTATATTACACGCGTAGTTGGAGGCAGCGTTTCGCAGGCCGTAGGGCTGGGCCTGGTAGTTCTCCGTCAAGGCTTCGTACTCGGAGAGTTGGAGACCCGTCGCAGAGGCTGGCCGACGACGAGCGGAGCGTCCTTCAGGAGTAGATATGACCACGAGATCTATACCAAGTCGTGTAGGACGACTGGCCCGAGCCGGTCGGGTAGATCTGTTGTGGGAAGAGGTTACCTGCTCATTAGGTCCAATTTGAATTGAACTTACCAGAGCTAGGGTTTCAGCGAGCTTGGTGCCGACCCGATCGATGGAGTCGAGCAGGTCGGTGTTGTCGATCTGCCTCCCTTTGTAGCGGGGAAGAAAACGACGGATTGTCGGCGTGGCTGAAAGCGATGCGGGCGTGGTCGGAGCCAGATCCACCGTGGTCGGAGCCGTATCCACCGTGGTCGGAGCCGGAGCCGATACAGGTGAAGCAGCGGTCGACGCGGATTGAATCCGCGCCTCCTCCGTGATCGTAGCGATGAAGTCGTCGGAGCCGGTGGTCCAGCTGATCTGACCGATGGTGAACGTGAGGTCGTTCGGCGTAGCCATGAAGCCGGGGATGATGACCATCTTGTTCGCTTGGAGAGCAGTACGCACACCCCCTATCTGGCGCGTCACTGTCGACGAAATATGATCGGCAGTCTACCCAGGGGTATGCCCAAAGTAGTAGATTGTCGGCAGACAGATGCGCAAGCCACAACCAAGATGGTGACGCAAGACACACGAGGTTTTATCCAGGTTCGGTCGTCGAGAAGGCGTAATACCTACGTCCTGCATCTGATTGTATTGTTGTATGTCAATGTGAGATGTTTTTTAGAGGGGTCCCATGCCCGCCTTATATAGTTCGAGGGGCAGGGTTATAGATCTGGAAACTAATCCTAGTCAGTTATAATTGCCATAGGTGACCAAATAAGGATTCCTATTCTAACCAACCAAGATCTTGCTTGATCGCCAAATCTGTCTTGACTCCTTGCGCGGGACTCCGAACAGGTTGATCGGGCCGCGCGTCGTCTTTTGGTGGACCAGACCCACTGATCCGGGCCGGCCCAATCTTAGCCATAAGGGTATAGGGGTTAATACTCCCACAGCTGGCGACGTCGTGCAAATTCGTCAATGTAGTAGTGCAATTGAATTCACCAATTACTGCCAGCATTCACGCACCCCCAGTCGTACAAAATCCACCGCGCTGAGGGTGAACCTCAACCACGCAACCACCCGATCTGCCAAGCCGCGCGCAGCGCTCAGGCTCAAGTCTGAACTCTGAAGAAGGGAATTCGAAGAAGGCAATCGAGAAATGCGCGAGGCCAGGCCATCCATCCAGCGCACTTTCCTTCACCTGCTCGCCTGATCAAAGCTGTAATCTTTCCTTTTTTTTCACCCCAAGAGCAAAAATCACTCCCAGGAAGCCAAGTGCCAGGCACATGGAGCGCTGCGGCAGCCCCACAGTCCCACTCCCACTGAACAACATCTCGTCGAACGAGATGCATTGCACGGCCAACCAATCATAGCTCAGCCGAGCAATTTCCACAGACGTACAGGTCCATGGTCAACGTAGCAGTGCAGTAGGCAGGAGTAGTCCGTAGCAGCTACATAACATCACTGTGCGATCATGCATGTCATTATGTGTTGTCTTGTCGTGGAAATAATGTACTTTTGGAGTTTTGGATGGCTCTGTAACTCCGTAGCACAACCTGTTTAATAATCATTGTTATAGCCGTAATGCAGTTGTAGATCTCTCCCAAACAGAAACACACTTGCTTTAATTTTTTAGTACCGGTTATTATGCAGAAGTGCAGTTGCCACAGACACCAAGACAACGGTAGTTTAAATATTTCTCCTACCCTCTTTCTCTACGAAACTGAGAAATAAAAAAAATATTGGCTTTGGTTTGTTACGACAAAGAACCTCAAATTTATAATGGTACCGAACAAATATCGTTTGTTGCGGTGTCCATCAGCATATTATGTATTTTAACTATGTCCTGTAGCAAAAATTTCTAAATTATTTACATTATTTGGCACCATGCATGTTCAGTAACTTTGCACATGTTTTCAAATTTTGCCCTGTTTGGCTCGCTGAAATTTGGCTGCCGCTGCAGATACTGATTTATTGTGAGACAAAAACACTATTCTTTAGCTGAAAATTAGTGTTGATAAGTTCAAGTGAATTTGTCATTGTGGAATATTCTCAATCTTTTGTACTCCGTAGGTTCGTCCTATTGACATTTGTTGCTATTGAGGTAGCAGTGTAAGCGGTGAACCTTTCAAGATAATTGGGTGTCAATCATACTCATGCGATGCAATTTGAAAACTCTATCGATGCTTCCGGCGTGTATCATGGTCCAGTGTGGACTTCAATTCTTTGACCTTCTTGAAATTTATCTAGGATACATACGTCATTGGCATTGGCTTGCTAGATCATGTTGGCCCAGAAATGAAATGCAACTTTATTATTTGATTTCACACAATTACCTTGATAGGTTTTCAGTTTCACTTAAAACCCCTTAGCAACCCATGGCACAACCATCGAAATGCCACAACTATTTTTGAAGGAACATTTAGAGTTCCCGCATCAACGCGCGGTGTATTATCTAGTAGCACATAGGAATTTTGATCCGGCGTACTCCCTCTATCAAGAAATGGTAGGCATGTTAGACTAAAGAAAAACTCAAATTTTACAAAGTTTGACCAATAATTAATCAAATTATGACTAGTTATGTGCAAGTCTAGAACATAAAACATACATCAATAGATTTGTGTAAGTGACTCTAAGGTGGTATTGATTCTTTAAGATTGACTATATACTATAAAGGCTTGTTTGGATGTACTCGTATCCATCTCAATCCACGAGTATTGGAGTGGATTGAGGGTGGGGCATAAACTATTTTTCACCTCAATCCACTCTAACCCACATGGATTGGGATGGAGACGAGTGCATCCAAATAAGGCCTAAGAGAAATTATGGGGCAAAGGGCCTGTTTGTTTGGGCCTTTGTGGGAGCTTTTGGATGTTAGCTTTGGGACCTGTCGGCCATCAGACTGCCGACATGTACCTATCGGCCTACCGGGAGCCGATATGATGCTGGGTGCCTGTCCGCCAAGAGCGACCTCCTGCTCACGCACAACCCCGTGCACCGCTCCGTCCCGGTCCTCCTCCACGGCGGCCGCGCCGTCTGCGAGTCCGTCCTCATCGTCGAGTACGTCGACGAGGCCTTCGCCTCCCACGGCGACGTCAGGATCCTGCCGGGCGACCCCTACGCCCGCGCCACCGCGCGCTTCTGGGCCGACTTCATCGCCACCAAGTGATTGAAGCCGCTGTGGCTGTCGATGTGGGCGGACGACGGCGAGGCGCGGGCGCTGTTCGCCGCGGAGACGAAGGCGAGCCTGGTGGCGCTGGACGCGGAGCTCCAAGGCCATGGGACGAGGTTCTTCGGCGGCGACGACCTCGGCTTCGTCGACCTCGCCGCCTGCACGCTGGCGCACTGGCTCGGCGTGCTGGAGGAGGTGGCCGGGGTGCGCCTCGTGGCGGACGGCGAGTACCCGGCTCTGCGACGGTGGGCCGAGGAGTACACCTCCCACGAGGTCGTCAGGCGGTCCCTGCCGGACAGGGACCAGCTCGTCGCCTCCTTCGCTGCCAACCAGGGAGGTACAGTGACAGACCGACCAATGGAGGATATACTACGGAGGAGAGTGCAGGAATGGACGGACGGACTCACATAGAAGGAGGTGATGGTGCCGGCGGACTCGCCGGGGACGAGCTTCATCTCGAGGTCGAACCTGCCGAAGAGGTAGCGCTGCTTGGACTGCAGCTGTGCGCCCGTCCGCTCGTCCAGGGACAGCTCCACGGTCCGCCCGCCGTCGCGGAACCGCGCATTGCCCGCGCCCCACACCACATCGAAGTCCCGCTGGAAGTTGTGGTCGCCGCCTGCCGCCGTCGCCGTCGCCACGGCCAGGGTGGCGACGAAGGGGAGGGCGAGGGACAGCAGCTGGATGGATTTGAGGGCACGTAGCCAGGCGCTTTCACCAAATGCCAGGGCGAGCCGGCATGCGCGCTCTTTTCTGCGGCAAGGCTTTCCTGTGGCCCAACAACGGCGTGGACCGCAGCAAACTGATCCAGTCCCGCCATGGGAATCGTCGAGCAACACACGATGGGGCACACGACAGAAGGTTGCCAATGGGGCGACACAAGGTGGGATGGTCCCCGGCAGCACGACCGTGGCAGCGTAAACTGGCCTGGCCGCGGCCCGCGGCGCCGGCGCGGGGCGCTGCGCCTGCGACCTGAGGCGAGAGCGAGACGCTGCGTGCTCCGTGAGTTCATTGCACGACGCAGCGGGAGCGCAGGCGGGAGGCGATGGCCGATGGCCGGTGGGAGATACCGGACGCGTGAACAATGAACATCTTTGTACTCGCGTACCGTCTCTGCCTGCCCTCACTGTGAGGGCCTCACATGGCCTGTGCCACGCGGTCCTTCCCAATTTTCGTCTCAGGCCCGTTTAGATCCAAATTTTTTTGGATTTTGACTATCGTAGCATTTTCGTTTGTATTTGACAATTAGTGTTTAATTATGGACTAATTAGGTTCAAAAGTTTCGTCTCGCGATTTCTCACCCAACTGTGTAATTAGTTTTTTTTGTCTATATTTAGTACTCCATACATGTGCCGTAAGATTCGATGTAACAAGTACTGCGCAAAAAATTTTGGAATCTAAACGGGCCTGAGCACAGTCCACAGCATCGCTATCGAGAGCGCCTGCCGGGGCTAGCTGTGCACCTGCGACTTTTCTTCGAGGCTGCACTCTCTCATGCCTCGTCTCATGGAACCTCCAGCTCTGCATCATCATTCGACCGGCCCTGTATAGTTACCAAAGTAATCACTGAAGTAATGAGCATTATTCTTCGACAAAGAACAACTTCCAAGAGTCGCTTAATGAAATCAAAACGATCTTAGCATTACTGATTAGAGGTTTCTAACAGAGCATCCTAAAATCCACATTAATTCTCAAGAAATTGCTAGAAAAAAAAAAGATAAATTGTAACTCTCACAATAACAAGAAAACTCGTGATCATAGGCATTTGTTTGTTTCTTTACCAAACAAGGGGATTAGAGAGGATTGGAGGGGATTGAGGGGGATTTAAAATATCTCTCAATCCCCTCCAACTCTCTTGGTTTCGTGATGAAACGAACCAGACCTAAATTGGTAGACTCTAATCTTCATCACTGATAAGAATTGTTGGATCTATTTTTATTTTCTTAAAAATTACACATCTCCTATCATAAAAACACATAAACTAGCCTATAGATACGCAACTAAATTACCCCTCTCATGTTTTCAGTAGTTCAACTGTAAGTGTTCTATTTGGACTAAAACATTATAACATACTTCTTCAGTTTTGAAATAAAGGTATCCAAGTAATTTTAGACCAAATAAAAATTCTGACAAAAGACAAGCTTGCCTCTCACTAATTAGTTTGTTTGGTTATTACCTTGCTTAATTTCCTAATGAACGACAGTTTTAAAGGCATGTATGCATGTTATTGATTTTGGCTACCAATTACATGAGTCATTTTGGACAAGATATGCATAAATGAGGTTTAAAAGACATGCACACAATTATAGAGTTGAACAATTTACAATACTTTATAATTTTGAAACAAAATTTGAACCTTCGATGTACGTGCTTCTCCTTCTTTGTTAGTATTCCCTCTGTCCCTGAATAAATTGATTGCTAGAGTTGTCTTAAGTCAATCTTTTTAAACTTTGACCAAATTTTCTAGAAAAAACTGTTAAGATTTATGGTATCAAATTAGTATCATTAGATTTACCATAGAATATATTTTTATAAGTTGCTCATTTTATGTCATATAGTGTCGGTGTTTCATAAACCGGATTAGTAAATTTATATGATTGTTGCGCTGCTTTAGGAAGACGATACTAGCATCCAATAGACATGAGGATTTATACTGGTTCAGGACGGAGCCCTACGTCCAGTCTCAGAGAAGATCGAGTGCGTGTTCCTCGCTTGAATGCTCTGAAGTTCTTACAATGGAGGGTGCAAGAATGGAGAGAGAGAGGTGGTAGAACATATACTAGACGAGGGGCAACCCAAAGAGAAGCTCTAGGAGCCCTACTGCTATGGATGGAATGGTAGAGGATGAAGAATGTGATGATGATCCTGAGATGGGAGCCCTGGCTGCCCTTATATAGAGTTCGGGGCCAGGGCTCGTTACAAAGATGAGGTTCCCCCGACCGAAGGGTCGAGAGCCTGAGGGTGGTCCTAGCTAACTTGGCTTGCAAGCTACGCCATCTTCCGATGCTCTCCCGGGCGTGGCTATCGTTATGGTCTTGTGGCCACGTCGCGGCAGGGTTTGACGTGGTGCTACTGTGCTGGCCGTGGCAACACTGTAGCCACGGTGATGGTTCGTTAGCTATCCTATGCAACGTGGCATCCGTCATTGTCTTCACCGTCATCTCTAGGTTCCCCGAGACGTCGTACCCGTAGTAGGTAGCCGCCCCGGGTCGTTGTTCGTCTGGTTGCTTCGTGGGGCTGAGGGCCATGACCCCGATCATTGGGGTCGAGGCTCTCCGCTAGCCAGGGAGGTCTCCCGGTCAGGATCTGTAGGATCTCTGGTTGGCTTAGAGGGTGTGAATAGACCTGTCAAAATAAGCACTCAAACTTTTATCAAATTCACCCAGCGGCACTACCGCTCTGGAGAGCGGCACTACCGAACTACGGCACTACTAGGCCAGAACAGCGGCATTGCCGTACATACAGATAACTTCGAATCATAGTTTAAAATTCATAAATGGAAACTTAGATCGGAGAAATTTCCTAGCTTACTGCAGGTATGACAATCACAGATCAAGAACTAAAAGTGATAGGAACACCACACACAAATAGATCAATTAGAAACCCTAGTAATCACCTCAACCATAATATATCATGCAAGTAATGTAAATCAAGCACAAGTGACACAGTGATTTATCCCATGGTTCGGCTCCCCACCAAGGCTTGTCTACCTCCACGTAGTTGAGGTTAGCCACTAAGGCTTAGGGATTTCTAACCCTTCATCGTTCTCAAATCAAGAGACTTAACTCTTGAGATGAGGGGTGAGTTTACTAACTTTAAGAGATTGTTACAAACCTCCCGGGGCTGCCACACAAGTTGGCAAGCTTCACGGGTGACTCTCTAGCCGGCTAGGAGCCAAGCTCCAAGAGTAACAAACACAACCGTCAGCCAAAACATGAACCAAGTGCTCTTTAGAGTTGGGGAATTAATAGAGCTGCTCTCTAATCGAGTTTTAGACCCTTTTCCCTCAAGGATTGATGGGGAAATCAATGTATTTGCTTGGGGGCTTGAGGTCAACAATGAAGGGAGAGAGAGAGCTCCTGCTCTATTTTGGGCGTGCTAAAGTGAGGAGAAAGAGGCAGATAACCGTTGGGGAGGAAGGGAAATGGTATATATACCCCCAACCCCCAACGGTCACCGCACCCAAGGGGTCGGGCAAGACAGAGCCCATGGCCTTGAGGTCGGATGAGACGGAGCCCATGGCCTCGAGGTCGGGCGAGACGGAGCCCGTGTTCTTAGGGTCAGGCGAGACGGAGTCCGCACCCAAGGGGTCGGGCAAGACGGAGCCCGTGGCCTCGAGGTCGAGAGAAATGGAGTCCACGGCCTCGAGGTCGGGCGAGATGGAGCCCACGACCTTGGGGTCAGGCGAGACCTTTTAATACGTCTCGAGCCATCTGGGGAAGTCAGCGTGGGCGCTAACTTCCTTGTGCTGTGACTTGAGTGTGGCAGTGCCTCTTTTCAAGTGCGGCAGTGCCGCACCACGCAAGACAGCAAGAGTAATAGTGAAGTGTAGACTGTCTTGGCTGTAAATCTGAGGATGCATGTGGTTGTTTGAGCACTTGGTAGCACATATTAGCTTAATTATTGTGTCCCCCTTTATAGTACAGCTTTTTCTATACTCAAATTCAAAATATAAAAAGAATTTAAACCTCCTTTGAGTTTGAACCATCTACATTTGTAATTGGGGCTCCTCCGTTTCATGTAGCATCCTCGAATATAAATTCCCTACTTGTTATCTCAATAAATCTCATTAGTTCTCTAATTGCGTGGTCATTATCACCAAAACCGACAATTAGGGCTTAATTGCACTTTCAATCTCCCCATTTTTGTGATTGATGACACCCAATTAGAGCTTGTAAAGATATGAAATAAATACTGAGATTTTTGAGCCATGGGTATAGAGCCTCTCCCTAAATGTGTGAATAGATAATTGAATTCTCAAATTGGCATATGAAGCCAAGATTCATATTTTAGTGAAAGTGATGGGGCTCTCCCTACATCCATGCTTCTGTGGGGTGCTGCATACTATGTCAGGTATGTAAAACATGATGCAAATGACAGTTTATGCACAACATGGTTTACTATTGTAGCTGGGTGCGGCACTGCCGCACTTGCTGTAACAGCACAGATCAGAATAGACACCACACGGTATGTGATACATATAAAGATATACATTCTAGCACAATTGTATCACAAGCACCAGCATAGATTAATATATGTCCATATCCCACACATATATAAAGTACTTAAGTAGCATTATTACATAAATAGAGTTTCTAATGGACTCTCAAACTCTCACCTAACGAAGACTACTCTAAACGGATACGAACATGACTCTAGCTGCAGCAACATCCTCTCCATGGTGTCGAAAAAGTTATTAACCCCTCTACGAAAAAGTTGTTGATCCCTCAAATTTTCTATCCTTTGGCATAAAGCACAAAAAAGAGAAGAAAAGAAGAAAGACCAACACTCACTCCTCATCCTCTTGGATCGTGTCCCAATCAACATCATCGCCACCAGCAGCTCCACTAGCACCTGCGACGTCCTCCTCTCCACCATCATCATCATCATTGTTATCGGAGGAGGAGGAAGAAGATAGCACCGCCCTCTCCTGGCGATGAGTGGTCAAAATGTGGCGCTCACGCCTGGTGCTCCTCCTCATGGACTATAAGGTGGTCCTCAAACTAGTGTGAGGATCAAGCTCTAGCTGCTCCTGCTCCTCCTCCTCCTCATCCTCTAAATCAGTGTCGGATAGGCTAGGGAGGTTATCAAACCTCGACGGTGACTGAGAAAGAGGTGGCAGCCCTACATGCTCTCTAGCCTCCTGATTGGCTTCACGGTTATCCAACCGGTCCGGATATGCGGTCCTCGCTGCATAAGTGCATGTGGTGAAGATGGCCTTGATCCACTTCTCAAATTTCTCCATCTTCTTT